CAAACGTGAAGCTCTGCCACGTTCTCCGCAGAGAGTGTCTCTAGGGTCTGTGGAGGGTTTTCCTGCAGCCTGCCCTAGACCTGCAGAGGAGTTTTGACTACTGATTCCAGCTTCTCCACCTCCCATCTTGATGCTGCATCAGTTTCCAGCCCTCCTTCAGGGCCTTCCCCCTCCATCTCCCACTTCCCTATCAGAACCAGCTTTCATCCATCCTCAGAGAAGGGACCAGTTAATGAAAGTGAAAAATGTGCACAAAGTCCCCAACCCCTCTTATTTCCCCTTTCCAAGCTGTCGCCAAAGAGAGAGTGCAGCCACCGAGGATCTGGCCTGAGGTACCCAGCCGTCTGCGCTTTCCCCTGTCATAGGACAGAAGGAACTGGTGTCGCTTCTGAAACCCCCGACCACGGGTGGGACTTCATGCGCTCTGCTTTGGGAACTGCCACCCTCCGCAGGGAGGAGGATCTCTAGGTTTGTGTAGAATCTTTTTTCAGGGACTGCCCTTGATCTATTTATGAAATAAAGAAGGTTGGTTTTTTGGGCCTTCACCTCCCCACTAAGCCCTGCCTTCCGTGTTTTTCACTCTCCTAATGCGAGCTACAGCTTCTTGGGATGCTCACTTCAACTATCAGCTATCCTTTGGCGTAAGGCCAGCATAACTCACGTTAAGGTGGGAAAAGCATGCAGCTCTCCATTCTGTCTATTCAGACTGTACAACTGAGGGGTCCAGTGAGCGAGACCCAAATTTGTAAGTGACCTGAACTTTTCCCACTCGCCGGGTGAGAAGTGTTATAGGAAAGGTCATTGGCACCACTTTTGAAATCTCTGACTTCACAGACATGGACCTCTATGTTGTCCCACTGTCCCGCTTTAGAATTCTTTTCACTGATAACTAAACTTTGTTTTCTTGCTCTTTTACCTCCCCTTCGCTAAGATTTTGGCAGATGTTCTGTCTTCTCCCCACTTTTAAATCGTTTGGGGAAAACACCAGATAACTCAGAATAGGATAGAAAAGATTCATATTTTTTCCTTTTGAAACAGTGACAGTTCTTAGAACCAAAGCAATAAAGTTCTAATGATTGCGTATCAGGCACCTCTGCTTGGGATAACCCTTGGGGAAGCGCAGTTGTGGAGGGGGGGCTGTGAGTCACCTGCCTTTGGGGAGTATGCCCTGGTGGCTATGGGGACTCATCCTGAGTCAACCAGTCTGTCCTGAGAGCTTCCTGGGGTCTTAGGGAAAGGAAGTCCACAGGGTAGCTATGCCTACAGGTTTATATGCCTTTGGTTTCATAAGAGGTTTCATTTGCCTCGTCCTGAAACTGCTCTCTGAGGTTTTTTTTTAATAAGACCCTAAAAAGATCTACATTTTTAAAAAGGCTGGCATTCAGTTGTTCAGCAAAGATTCTGAGATAAAACTGCAAGTAGTTCAGCTACAAAGGTGCTGGAGGACCTAGAATGTGCTAGAGAAGACCTGTTTTGGTTCTGATTCTGCCATTTTCCAGCAACATGGAATGGGCCCCTGAACTTTTTGATCCTCTATTTCCTCATGGACAAAATTGGTTTACTGCTACTAACCACACAGTGTTGGAAGGTTAAAAGGCTCTCTCTAGGGTGTGAAACATAACGTTCCTTGTCCCTGTAGCACTGTGGCTTGAGTGCTGCCAGTTCACATGGGCACATCCTTGTCCCCCATGGCGCTTCCATCCTCTCTGACCGATACTGAAGTTTCTACTTCAGTGTCTGAACCTATACTCCGTAGACACTGACGGGCTCTATGTGGTCTGCAGAACTCCTGAAACTGCCTGCAGAAGTGTATTTGTATATGTGGGGAGGATTTTCTGGGGAGAATATTCATAGGTTTCGTTGGATTCCCCAAAAGATTCCAACATCTAAAGAGTTTCAGATTTGGAACTCGAGAGTTCAACCTTTGAATTCATCAACAGAAGTCACTCTCATCTTGTGAGTCTAAGGTTCTAGCAAATTTAATGGTGGTGTCTGACTGTGAGACAGGATACCTGAAATTGTAACATGAGGAAAAATCTGTGACGTGCTCACTGGCATAAGATTATGCAGTTGCCTACAAGCTGAAGGGCAAGGCTGCAAGTCTGTCTGTGTTATGTTATTGTCAGCTGTCTGACCCTGAGCAAGACTGTTCCGCTCCCTGACCTTCAATGACCTTGTGCGTAAAATGACGGGATGAGCCCATGGTTTCCCCAAGTCCCTCTACAACTCTAAAATAATATAACTCTCTTAGGAAGCAGGATGAAAGCAGACCTAGATTCCTCCTGTAAATGAAAAAGAGCTGCAAGGAAAAGGTGCTTTGTGCCTAAGGTTTCTAGATTCCAGGGACTTCGTCCATGAAAATGATCTGAGAGCGAGTCTGCTGCTCAGAAAGTTCCAGGGTGAAGGAAGCAGGAGGACTGCTTCAAGAACCTCTGATAAACCAGACACTGGATGGGCCCCCTATGCTGAGACCCGGGATGGAATCGTCGGGGTTACTTCTCTGCAGGGCATGGCCTTTCCCGGCCATCAGTGCCTGAGCCAGAAGACATTCCTGAGTGTGTCTTCAGACTTGCACCATCAGTGGCTGGCTGGGGAGCATCAACACTTCCCTGCAAACAGCTGAGTGCTCATGTAAGTCCAAGGGGACCACTAACACAACAGGAGGGGAGCCTGGGCAGCAGAAAGCAGGGCGTGTCAGCAGCCAACTCCCAGGCTGGGGAAAGGGAAGCAGAAGCCTCTGAGAAATGTGCTCTCGTGCTCTGCTGGGTCAAGTCGACCTTCTATGAGTTTATGATATGTTACCTGACTTGTTGCTAGGTAATGATTTAGCTTTTCAAAATATACCCACAGATCATTACTATTTCTAAATAGCTTCAGGATAGTCATTACTACCCATTTTCACTTAAAAAGAAATGAATTTTAGGGAAAGGGGATAAGGGCAGACAGATTCCATTCAGGGAAAAGGAGTGGGGGCTGTATCTTAACACTGCCATTCCCGTCACTAAGGTGGATGACTTTTGGATGCCAAAGACAGGTGAAAAGGAGTAGTGTGTTTGCCACAACTTTCCTGAAAGGGAGTGTGGAAAAGAAATCAAAAGGTCTCTTGACAAGCGGAAAGAGGAAACCACGTGCTCCACGGCATTGCCATCCACGCTCCACCTAGGCTACACAGATGGAGCACCTCTCTCCTCCACTTTCGACAGCCTGGACATTTTTTAAAAAGATTTTTTAAAACATTTATATGGTCTCATATAGCATCAAGAAATTGGGAGAAATTTAGAGTAAAAAGCAAAATGTCCCATTTAGCTCCTATCCTTCCAAAGTAACAACTGCCAACAACCTCTTGTCCATCTTTCATGTCTTTTCTGTCTTTACATACATGCATGTATGTACATACACTCCACTCTACTCATTTTTGAGATGACTGCTTGTCTGTGTAGGTGGGTCTTTCTCCTTTCTTGACAGCTACATGCTACTCTATAAAATACACTGATAGGTCCTTAGGTTGTTACCCTGTTTGGGTCATTACAAGGACATCCACCTCGATAGCCTATTTTTTTGTATATGTGCAAGTCCACTATCTCTTAAAAAGGAGTGGGAAGTCACATGGATTTAAAACAGCTACTCATTATATGCTTTTCCTTTATAA